AATCGAAAACATTTCTTAGCAGTACAGTTATTGAAAGAGTGAGACAGAAAAAGATTTAAGGTGTAAGGTCACGGGCATTGCAATGGATTTCCTATCTATATACTGATTTCTGGATGATTCAGAAAGCTTATCCCAAACAATCAACAAAGACACTGCATTTTCCTCTGTCTTGCTTTAGAGCCGATACTGCTATGCTTTAGCCTAACTAGTATTAAGAAAATCATGTTCCAGGACCTCATGTGCAGACACAAGGAGCAGTCCTGAAGCCTCAGCAGTGAGTCAAGTGTAGTCTGACATGAGGATTGACACAAAGCCAAAAAAACTGCGATTGTGACAAAATGACCTCATTTGGGAGCATTGCATGTTGAAAGTGGAGAGACTGACATGCCTTAAACTCGCCCCGGTCAGGAGCAGCACAGAAGAGGACAGATGCTGCGTGGACAACTCCAACACTGAGCACTGAGCACGCTCTCTGGGGTGCGGAACGAGCCGCAGCTCTGAGCGCTCAAGAGCGCAGAGGGCTTCTCACAGCGACTGTGAGATCTCAGGCTGTGATGCAACAGGAAACGGTAGAGCTGATCCAAGTCACATAGCATGAGGAAAAATGTGCGTGTTAACATGCACGCATGTGGAGGAGGCCAGCGACCTTTGCCCCGCTGTCTGGCAGAGCCCGCAGAGATGCTCCTCACGTACAGCGCGCCGCTGTCGCTCAGAGACGTCAAGCCCGACTGAAGAAGTCAACTACCACCTGCCTCACCGTCACCCTGGAACAGAACGGGCAGTGAATCCTCACGAGTAACTCTTACTACACACGGGGGAAAAAACAAACAAAAAAAAAAAGCAACTACTGTACTTGCAGGAAGCGGACAGTCTGAAGGATTTTTGTATATGGGCTATAACAGGGGAGAAGCTTGGGACAGCGGTAAGTTTTCATCTAAGACATACATGTCCTATAACAGTGAAAACAATTGCAATATATATTTAGTATTGACTGATCGTAATAAAACCGAAGCGTCAGAGTGCTCATTACAGAGCTGGTCTTCTGCACTCCAGTTGCAGAACGCCCCCCTCAGTTCCCTCGAACTCTAATCTGTGTTCGAATTCAGTCGGCTCCCTGTCACGACACCTCTCAGCCCAGTACAAGTACAGGTTACTGATCCCAGCAGCACCTTTCACTATTAAAGCTACACTTCTTTTCTCTGCCCATTAAACATTCATGTCTGCTGCAATTTTAACCGAGGAAGGTGATAATTTATAAATAAATGGCATCGATCAATATCCTGGACAGAGAGAGAGAGAGTCTCCAAGTGAAATGAAAGAACCCAAAGCCAGAGCTTTCCTGCTGCCACGTTATAATGCCGAAAGGAAACAAAACCGAGGTCTCCGGTCTTAAAACCCAACAGGACGACTTGCCTTGCCTCCAGTTTTCTGCGGTTCTCTAGCGTGTGAGCCTGACCCAAATTGTTAGCTTGGCGAGAACGTAGCCTGGGTTACGGTTACGCTCCCAGGAGAGAGCCGCACAACGGACAACAGCTTCCCACCGCAGAGGAACTGTTTCCTCATCCATCCCAGCGGAGACACTGCGATTGTCTGCCACGGCGCTCAGCGAGCCAGCCAGGGGAGACGGGGGCCTGTTTTTGACACGGTTCCACTCATTCATGCGCAAGAACCATTCAAGGGGAAACGAGAAGATGGGCAGACCCGCACTCGAAGGACTAAATTAAACTCCACTCCACTCAATCTTCTTATGTAAAATCGAGAAAAAAAATGAAACACCCTTGCAAAAGGAACAATTCATCAGCAAAGCTCAGTCTAAAGTACGTACAAGAAACAGCATAATCAAACAGCTACACAAACCCCCCTGGCATGTCTGCTCTTTCAGACAGGGGCCATGTTATAGAAGGATGTGCTCTTGATTCAGTTACTGCGGAAACGAGGTCAAGTCTGCCCGATGCATGTGAACTGTGAGCAGCCACACACCGGCCACACATCTCCTCCAACGTCTGCATTCATTTACCCATCCCAGGAGCACCTGTTTATTTTCATGTCATCATTTACTGTGATTTCACAATGTAAAGACAGGCTTTTAGCGGGAGAGCTGCGCTTTGCTGCACAGACTGCCACGAAGAATCAAACACGGCAAACAGAACAGAAAGATGAAATTCTCAATGGAATCAGATTCCGGTAACAATGAAGCAAAGTCATGCTGATCTTCGGATACGTGTTTACAGAACGCTTCCGTAGGGAAGCGTCCCCTGGTGCTCGGAAAGCAAACAAGTCTGGCTCTCAGGAAACAGATACGGGATTTACTCGCATTATGCTAAAGTGGGGCAGGAACCTGCTAACATTCTAGACATCAAACTGCTCTTTCTGTAAAGGCATACTGCAGCAAGCAATGTCGGAGACTGTTCATTTATTGACGGGGTAATGCAGGAAACTATGTTTTCCAGTCTCATATAAGCAGTGTCAACTAGAATTGCCGTCTCCCAGGTCTTTGAACTAGTTAAAAGAGAGAAGATCTGAAGAATAATGCGAATAATGAGATCACGATTGCTTGCAGCTTGGGCAGAAGCTGCAGGGAACTGATATTTCTTTGGTGTCAACTAAATATGAAAGATTCTACTACTGGTTTGAGTAGATATTTTCAGTGATCAGCACTGACGGCAATAATTGGACAGGTAAGGATA